AGTACAATACAGTACAGTACAATACAGTACAGTACAGTACAATACAGTACAATACAGTACAATACAGTACAGTACAATCAGTACAGTACATACGTACAATACAGTACAATACAGTACAGTACAGTACAGTACAGTACAATACAGTACAATACAATACAGTACAATACAGTACAGTACAATACAGTACAGTACAATACAGTACAGTACAATACAGTACAATACAGTACAGTACAATACAGTACAATACAGTACAGTACAATACAGTACAGTACAATACAGTACAATACAGTACAGTACAATACAGTACAGTACAATACAGTACAGTACAGTACAATACAGTACAGTACAATACAGTAAAGTACAATACAGTACAGTACAATACAGTACAGTACAATACAGTACAATACAGTACAGTACAGTACAATACAGTACAATACAGTACAGTACAGTACAGTACAATACAGTACAGTACAATACAGTACAATACAGTACAATACAGTACAGTACAATACAGTACAGTACAATACAGTACAGTACAATACAGTAGAGTACAATACAGTACAGTACAGTACAATACAGTACAATACAGTACAGTACAATACAGTACAGTACAATACAGTATAATACAGTACAGTACAATACAGTACAATACAGTACAGTACAATACAGTACAGTACAATACAGTACAATACAGTACAGTACAATACAGTACAGTACAATACAGTACAGTACAATACAGTACAATACAGTACAGTACAGTACAATACAGCACAGTACAATACAGTACAGTACAATACAGTACAATACAATACAGTACAGTACAATACATAGTACAGTACATACATAGTACAGTACAATACAGTACAGTACAATACAGTACAGTACAATACAGTACAGTACAATACAGTACAATACAGTACAGTACAATACAGTACAGTACAGTACAATACAGTACAGTACAATACAGTACAGTACAATACAGTACAGTATAATACAGTACAATACAGTACAGTACAATACAGTACAATACAGTACAATACAGTACAGTACAATACAGTACAGTACAATACAGTACAGTACAATACAGTACAGTACAATACAGTACAGTACAGTACAATACAGTACAATACAGTACAGTACAATACAGTACAATACAGTACAGTACAATGCAGTACAGTACAATACAGTACAGTACAATACAGTACAATACAGTACAGTACAGTAGAATACAGTACAATACAGTACAGTACAATACAGTACAATACAGTACAGTACAGTACAATACAGTACAGTACAATACAGTACAGTACAATACAGTACAGTACAATACAGTACAGTACAATACAGTACAATACAGTACAGTACAGTACAGTACAATACAGTACAATACAGTACAGTACAATACAGTACAATACAGTACAGTACAATACAGTACAATACAGTACAATACAGTACAGTACAGTACAATACAGTACAGTACAATACAGTACAATACAGTACAATACAGTACAGTACAGTACAATACAGTACAGTACAATACAGTACAATGCAGTACAGTACAGTACAATACAGTACAATGCAGTACAGTACAATACAGTACAATACAGTACAGTACAGTACAATACAGTACAGTACAATACAGTACAGTACAATACAGTACAGTACAATACAGTACAATACAGTACAGTACAATACAGTACAGTACAGTACAATACAGTACAGTACAATACAGTACAGTACAGTACAGTACATTACAGTACAATACAGTACAGTACAATACAATACAGTACAGTACAATACAGTACAATACAGTACAGTACTAATACAGTACAGTTACATACAGTACAGTACAATACAGTACAGTACATATACAGTACAGTACAATACAGTACAGTACAATACAGTACGTACTATCAGTACAGTACAATACAGTACAGTACAATACAGTACAGTACAATACAGTACAATACAGTACAGTTACAATACAGTACAGTACAATACAGTACAGTACAATACTTACAGTACAATACAGTACAGTACAATACAGTACAATACAGTACAGTACAATACAGTACAGTACAATACAGTACAATACAATACAGTACAGTACAATACAGTACAATACAGTACAGTACAATACAGTACAGTACAATACAGTACAGTACAATACAGTACAGTACAATACAGTACAGTACAATACAGTACAGTACAATACAGTACAGTACAATAGTACAGTACAACAGTACAGTAATACAGTACAATACAGTACAGTACAATACAGTACAGTACAATACAGTACAGTACAATACAGTACAGTACAATACAGTACAGTACAATACAGTACAGTACAATACAGTACAGTACAATACAGTACAGTACAGTACAATACAGTACAGTACAATACAGTACAATACAGTACAGTACAATACAGTACAATACAGTACAGTACAATACAGTACAGTACAGTACAATACAGTACAGTACAATACAGTACAGTACAGTACAATACAGTACAGTACAGTACAATACAGTACAGTACAATACAGTACAGTACAATACAGTACAGTACAATACAGTACAATACAGTACAATACAGTACAGTACAGTACAGTACAATACAGTACAATACAATACAGTACAATACAGTACAGTACAATACAGTACAGTACAATACAGTACAATACAGTACAGTACAATACAGTACAGTACAATACAGTACAGTACAATACAGTACAATACAGTACAGTACAGTACAGTACAATACAGTACAGTACAGTACAATACAGTACAATACAGTACAGTACAATACAGTACAGTACAATACAGTACAATACAGTACAGTACAATACAGTACAATACAGTACAGTACAATACAGTACAGTACAATACAGTACAATACAGTACAATACAGTACAGTAGAGTACAATACAGTACAATACAGTACAGTACAATACAGTACAGTACAGTACAATACAGTACAATACAGTACAGTACAATACAGTACAGTACAGTACAATACAGTACAGTACAATACAGTACAATACAGTACAATACAGTACAATACAGTATAGTACAGTACAATACAATACAGTACAATACAGTACAGTACAGTACAATACAGTACAGTACAATACAATACAGTACAGTACAATACAGTACAGTACAATACAATACAGTACAGTACAATACAATACAGTACAGTACAATACAGTACAGTACAATACAATACAGTACAGTACAATACAGTACAGTACAGTACAATACAGTACAGTACAATCTGTCAGGCACAAAGAAAGCCACTAACTCACGAACATTTCAGGCAGAATAATTCTAATTCTTACAGACTACTTAAAACTAGACATAGGTTATGGAATGGTAAATTTTAATTATGTATTATTACAACAATGGGAGATAGCAAAATTTATAATTACTAAAATTTATAGTAGACAGGCAGCAAAATATAATTACTACAATTTATACTAGTTCAATAATACACTTTTAAGCGTGTATTTAATCCTTAGGAGCAAGGGGCTAATAACCCTTTCTCTTGCATACATTACTAAATTTAGAAAGAGGAACTTTTGTTTTTCTTTTTGGGTCACCCAGCCTCAGTGGGATGTGGCCAGTTTGTTGAAATATGATGATGATTTAATCCTTAAAACTGATTTAGCAATCTTAAATTAATTTAGATTCCTCAAGTAGTTTCAAACTGGAGCTATGCTTTCAGACATAGTATAGTGTTGGTATACTTAAATTTTTGAGATGATGTGATTTTTAATTATAGCCCTACCTAAACTGGATGGCAGACAAGGGACCTTTTGCTAGTTTGGGCAATGAATTCCAGATCATGGGGCCCTTTATGTGTATGGCAGTTCTGCATAGTGTGAGGAGGACACGAGGAATGTTAAAAAGAGTTTTGTACCTTGTGTTGTGCCTGTGTTCTGTTGTAGTTATCATGGAGAAGTTTGAGTGGAGGGTTAATATTGGAGTTTAATGTAATATATGTGTAGTTGCAATGAGGAGAAAGCTGGAGGCAGTGGAGATGTCATTTCTGTGTGCAATGTGTGGTGTGAATATAATGCAGAGAATTCATAGTTTGGAAATTAGAAGAAGGTGTGGGATTACCAAAACTATTATCCAGAGGGCTGGGGAGGGATTGTTGAGGTGGTTCGGACATGCAGAGAGAATGGAACAAAACAGAATGACTTCAAGAGTGTATAAATCTGAAGTGGAGGGAAGGTGGGGTAGTGGTTGGCCTAGGAAGGGTTGGAGGGAGGGGGTAAAGGAGATTTTGTGTGCGAGGGGCTTGGACTTCCAGCAAGCGTGCATGAGCGTATTTGAGAGGAGCGAATGGAGACAAATGGTTTTTAATACTTGACATGCTGTCTGAGTGTGAGCAAAGTAACATTTATGAAGGGATTCAGGGAAACTGGCAGGCTGGACTTGAGTCCTAGAGATGGGAAGTACAGTGTCTACACTCTGAAGGAGGGGTGTTAATGTTGCAGTTTTATAACTATAGTGTAATGCATCCCTCTGGCAAGACAGTGATGGAGTGAATGTGTATGAAAGTTTTTCTTTTTCGGACCACCCTGCCTTGGTGGGAATCGGCCGATGTGTTAATAAAAAAAAATAAAACTGTGCAGTAGGCACAATCAGTATATTTTCTAAATTAAGTTCAAACTTAATAACTAGAGATAATGATTAAAGTAATTATGCTCATTATAGAATATTGCAGCAACAGTGCTCACATAGAGTCAATAACAACAGTCAATTAGTTAAAGTAACTATGCTCAATACAGAATATTACAGCAATAGCAACAGTCAATTAGCTAAAGCAACTATGCTCAGTACAGAATATTACAGCAATAGCAACAGTCAATTAGCTAAAGCAACCATGCTCAGTACAGAATATTACAGCAATAGCAACAGTCAATTAGCTAAAGCAACTATGCTCAGTACAGAATATTACAGCAATAGCAACAGTCAATTCAAGAACATACCTATTCCAAATGGTAAGAAACCTTCTTTCTTAGGCACAAACTTTCCATTGGCATCCAAGAAGCGACTCGGGTTAAATTTGTGAGGGTTTGGCCAGTAGCTGGGATCCTCGTGACATATCACAGAACATGCTTGAAGGGTCATACCCTATAATGAGGAGAAATAGAATAAATTTTATGTAACAATTCAGTCTGCTGAAATTTATATATTGCTCTTCTCTGGCTGAAGTAGCCACCAGCTGATGAAATTTTTCTGTAATAAAGATTTCAAAATGTTGAACAAGTGTCTCTATCCTCACCTTGTCGTTTTTCTAAACCATTAAATTACATACAATACAGTGGACCCCCGGTTTACGATATTATTTCATTCCAGAAGTATGTTCAGGTGCCAGTACTGACCAAATTTGTTCCCATAAGGAATATTGTGAATTAGATTAGTCCATTACAGACCCCCAAACATACACATACAAACACGCTTACATAAATACACTTACATAATTGGTCGCATTGGGAGCTGATCGTAAACCGGGGGTCCACTGTATATTACAGGAGTCTCTCTCTTTACAACACTTTGCTTTAGAGTGTTTTGCTAATACAGCAGTTTTCAATTATACCTATTTTTCATTTATTCAGGCTGCCTACAATAAATATATTCACAACAGATACTTCTCTTCTTACAAACAGGTTCAGTTCTGAGCATTTGAAAGTGAAAGAAGGCTGTTTCACTTTACAGTGATTTTTTATTCACAGCAGTAGCCTGGAACCTAACCTGCTGTATAAGTGAGGCCCCTCCAGTATAGTTTTTTGTAGAGCACTGGCCATCTCCCACTGAGGCAGAGTGCCCCCCCCCCAAAAAAAAAAAATGCCTTCATTAAGTTTCTTTTTTACCTTCAGTAACTATACAAGAGAAGGGGTTACTAGGCCCTTTGCTCCCAGCATGTTAGTCTCCTCTTACGACACGCATGGCTTACAAAGGAAGGATTCTGTTCTGCTTTCCCTTTTAGCCGCCTGTACATGTAAACTACATTTTGTATACTTCAGAAAGAAATGAAACTGTTTGTCTAAAAAATATTTTTAATTTGTGGATTTGTTAGAAAGCACAAAACTGACTGCACACTAACCTTGGGTAAGACATAACCTCCAAGCTCTATATCTTGTGTTACAAAATGACTGACGCTGAATGGAATGAGGGAAGACATGCGAAGAACTTCATGGATCACAGCCTCCAAGTACTGCAGTCTGCAGTTTAAAAGTTTACCTCAGAAACACTGAATAATAATAACAATGAATAATAAAAAATAATAATGGGAGCAAGGGGCTAGTGACCCCTTCTCCTGTATACTATATTACTAAATTTAAAAAGAGAAACTTTTGTTTTTCCTTTTGGGCCACCCAGCCTTGGTGGGATATGGCCAGTTTGCTGAAAGAAGAAGAAGAAGAATCTTTATTTCTACAAGTACATGTACATGTTCATATATTTATTTCATGACAAAAGTTAGGAACAAAATTTATTTCAACATGATACAATGTTTGTACAGAGATGAGTGACACTTAATTGTGCATGAAGAAAGCTCCTCTCTTCTATGTGCGGGTTATTTGTGTATCATTCCAATCACGGTATTGTGCCCTTTTTTATTATTATGTGGAGTACTTCAGGCAAATTAAGCATAACTGAAGACTATAATAGCAATTATTTGCAGGTGTTATTTTAATTGTTGCTAGGTAGTAGGTTGGTAGAGAGCAGCCGCCCAGGGAGGTACTACCGTCCTGCCAAGTGAATGTAAAATGAAAGCCTGTAATTGTTTTACATGATAGTAGGATTGCTGGTGCTTTTTCTTGCTACTTCTACTTACACTTAGGTCACACTACACATACATGTACAAGCATATATATACACACCCCTCTGGGTTTTCTTCTATTTTCTTTCTAGTTCTTATTCTTGTTTATTTCCACTTATCTCCATGTAGAAGTGGAACAGAATTCTTCCTCCGTAAGCTATGCGTCTTTCATAGACCCATCTGCTGACACGTCCACTCCCAAATATCTGAATACATTCACCTCCTCCATACTCTCTCCCTCCAAACTAATATCCAATTTTTCATCACCTAATCTTTTTGTTATCCTCTTACTCTTTCCTGTATTCACTTTTAATTTTCTTCTTTTACATACCCTACCAAATTCATCCACCAACCTCTGCAACTTCTCTTCAGAATCACCCAGTGTCATCAGCAAAGAGCAACTGTGACAACTCCCACTTTATGTGTGATTCTTTATCTTTTAACTCCACGCCTCTTGCCAAGACCCTCGCATTTACTTCTCTTACAGCCCCATCTATAAATATATTAAACAACCACGGTGACATCACACATCCTTGTCCAAGGCCTACTTTTACTGGGAAATAATCTCCCTCTTTCCTACATACTGTAACCTGAGCCTCACTATCCTCGTAAAAACTCTTCACTGCTTTCAGTAACCTACCGCCTATACCATATACCTGCAACATCTACCACACTGCCCCCCTATCCACCCTGTCATACGCCTTTTCCAAATCCATAAATGCCACAAAAACCTCTTTAGCCTTATCTAAATACTGTTCACTTATATGTTTCACTGGAAACACCTGGTCCACACACCCCCTACCTTTCCTAAAGCCTCCTTGTTCATCTGCTATCCTATTCTCCGTCTTACTCTTAATTCTTTCAATAATAACTCTACCATACACTTTACCAGGTATACTCAACAGACTTATCCCCCTATAATTTTTGCACTCTCTTTTGTCCCCTTTGCCTTTATACAAAGGAACTATGCATGCTCTCTGCCAATCCCTAGGTACCTTACCCTCTTCCATACATTTATTAAATAATAGCACCAACCACTACAAAACTATATCCCCACCTGCTTTTAACATTTCTATCTTTATCCCATCAATCCCGGCTGCCTTACCCCCTTTCATTTTACCTACTGCCTCACGAACTTCCCCCACACTCACAACTGGCTCTTCCTCACTCCTACAAGATGTTATTCCTCCTTGCCCTATACACGAAATCACAGCTTCCCTATCTTCATCAACATTTAACAATTCCTCAAAATATTCCCTCCATCTTCCCAATACCTCTAATTTCCATTTAATAACTCTCCTCTCCTATTTTTAACTGACAAATCCATTTGTTCTCTAGGCTTCCTTAACTTGTTAATCTCACTCCAAAACTTTTTCTTATGTTATCAACAAATTTTGTTGAAAATATCACCCACTCTCTCATTTGCTCTCTTTTTACATTGCTTCACCACTCTCTTAACCTCTCTCTTTTTCTCCCTTTTCTCTTCCCTCCCTGCATCACTTTACTTTGTAAAAACTTCTCATATTCAAATTTTTCTCCCCTATACTCTCTTTACTTTATCATTTCCCCCCAAACGCTCCTCTTCCCTCCCGACCCACAAATTTGCTGAACACTTAAACCCCTACTTTTTTAAAACCCACCCATTTCATCTTCGACCCCCTTTCCCATGCTTCATTGGGCCCCTTATCCTTCAAAAAGTTGTTTATTTTCTTACCTTTTAAAAGCCTCCCTTTTAGTTTAAAAACCCTTTACCTCTTCTTTCCCCGATCTCTATTTTCCTTGTATCCCATCAAACCTTTTTCTCTCAGTGTAGCTAAAAATAAAAGTGAACCCGAATTTTTTCTGTGGCCCCCCCCTTAAACATGAAAATCTGAAGTCTACTCAACAGTCTTTCTTACCCAAAAATAAACCCAAAAACCCACTGTCATTTTGCCCTATCATATCTTTTTTACTTATTTATCCCCTTTTTTTTTAAAAAGAAAATTGACCCCCCCTTGAACAATAAAGATATACTAATAAAGATATTTACACCCAAAAAAGAAAAATTTCAAAAGCACCGGGGACCTCGGGTACGGGAAATTATTTCGTTCCCGAAGGCCCGCTCGAGTGCCAAAAACCGAACAAAATTTTTTTTCCCAAAAAGGAAAAATGTTAAATTTTAAAATTTAAACCATTTCAGATCCCCCCAAAAAACACTTAAAAAAGCAATTACATAATTTCAATTTCTAATTGTTTGAGTTTTTGGCTGTTTAATCCCAAGGTTTCCCCCTGTATTTGTTAAATCAAGGATTACTGTATACTTTAAAAGTTTCCCCGTGGCTTTCCGTTGTGATGGGAAACCTGTCTCTGGGAACTGCATCATCAAACTCTTTCTGCCCCACTCTTCTGAAAATCTGGGTAGGGGAGCCATGTATAAAAAACATCCAGCGTAAAATGTTTTAAAGTGGTGTCAATCCCCCCGAGAAAAAAGTCAAATTGTTTTTTAAACAGATCCAGTTTTGATGAAAAAAAATGTGTGAAATTTTAAATTTTTAAAAATTTCATTAAATTTTGACCCAAAAATAAAAAATTTTTAAAAGATAAAACATTTCCTTTAAAAAAAACCCCTTTAAAAAAAAAATTACTTTATCAACAAGGGAGTGTAAAAAAAAACGAAATTTTTAAAAAAACCCTTTAAAATTAACAATGTACAAAAAGAATTTGGGAGTTTTTTTTTTTAAAATTTAAATTTTTTTTTTTTTTTTTAAAATTTCGGCCCCCTTTCCCACTGAGGCGGGTTTA